GGCAGGGGCGGGGGCAGGGGCGGGGGCAGGACGAGCCTACTGCACCACTCTTCCCACAGGTGGGCTTTCACTGAGACGCGAAGATCGTACAAGTCCCCACGAAAATGTGCCAGATCATCTCAGCACAGGAGGCGTCACTGGGTAGTAACTACAGGCCCCTGGGTGGGGGGCTTAGGCAGCAGGGAGGGGCTCCCTTGCCTAGCTGACCTGGGGTCCAGCTCTGACCAGGCGCAGGCCCGCGAGGGGAAGCGCAGTGTGGAGGGCCCGCCCTGCCAGCTGCAGCCGAGGGATGGCCCTGCACCAGCTCCCTGCACCCTCTCGGCTCCATGACAGCTTCTCCACTCTAACTGAAGTCACAGCCATGATCTCTCCTCACGGTCTTCTTCCCACGTGGACAAACTGCCCCAGGCTCAGCAGTTCCCCCCTGGCAAAGGGGCCGTCCTTGGGCAGGGGCCCTACCAGGGGGCACTGCTGGCCAGGAGCTGCCCGTGAGCTCACCTGCTGCAGTCACACATGCGTAGAGGGGCGTCCCCGCTGCTTCCCGGACCCCCCACGGGAGAAACCACCACGGGCACAGACCCCTAATAGGCTCCGCTGTCACGTGCGTGTGGCCTACGGCCTGCAACGCTGCGGCCGGGCCTGTCGACCTCGCTCTCCTGGAAGCCACAGTGCCCGTGTCCCGGGATGCGGCAGAGCGGGGCTTTCTGACGAGCGTTTGCTCACCACGCGACGATAAACCCTCACACGTACAGAGGGAGATGACAATGCCGGCTGGCACACGTGTGCGGGATGTCGGGGTGCTGCAGATGGCCGAGGTCGCACCGGGCACCGCCTCCCTCCCCTGCTCTCCATCGGGCTCTCCCACTGAGCCCGCCTGAGCTCCTGGGCCCTTCCTTGTAGCCCACGGCCACCGCTGCCAATGCAGAAGGCTCCCGACGGCAGCCCCCGGCCACACCTGAACGCTCGCCGACGCTGGCCGCGATGGCGTGCGGGCACCCGAGGAGCAGGCCCCGCCTGTGGCCTCACCACCAGGCCTGAACACGTGGCCAGCTCTCAGAGACCCGACGGGCACAGCTGCACGTGGCCTCACCGCCTCCCACGCCGCCACAGAACCTCCACTCACGCACGTGGCCTCACCGCCTCCCACGCCGCCACGGAACCTCCACTCCACCTGTACCATCCGACACTCCTCCAGGCGCCAGCGACCCCTCTGTCTACGTGGCCTGGGCCCGATGCTCTCCCGAGCCTGGACAGCCTCCCCAAGTGGACGCCTCTGGCAGGGTCTGGCCTGTTCCCTCCTGGCCAGGTGCGACCACAGGCTGAAGACAACTGAGTCCAGGCCGCGCCAGGCTCTCCCTGGGCCCCTGATTCCACCGCAGGGAGAGCACACACAGAGGCCGAGGGACGGGCGGCTGAGCCCATGGCTGGAGCGGAGTGACGCCCGCTCCCTGCAGCTCCGAGAGGCCTCCTTGTCCCCTCAACACCAAGGGTCCTGCTCCCCGGCATCCACCCAGCATGGAAAGAACCACCCAGGCCTCTCCACAGTCCACTTTGCAGGGAGCTGCACAGGGCCCTGGGGGAGCGGCATCGCAGGAGCCCTCTTCCCCCAGCAGAGGGCGCCTTCTTCCCAGTTCTCCGCCTTCCCTTCACAGGCAGGGTAGCCAGTGCGGGCGCTCGCCAGGCCCCAGGGCCGACAGGACACGGTGGGGCCACTGGCCAGCGGTAGCCCCAGCCCTTTGCTTGCACGCTCACTCCGGCACCGCCTGCAGTACAGAGACGGGAGCCCAGCCCTGACCGCTGCCCGGGAGCAGGCAAGGGGCAGAGGGTGCAGGCACAAAGAGGGACCGCTGGGCCCACCGGGGCATGGAGGTGCACCCCACAGGCCCGCGGCCACAGGCGGCACCACTGTGTCTCCTCTGAGTGTGGCGGGGAGCGGGAGAGGGGGGAGCGACGCTCAGACTCAAGGGCCACCCTCACACCTGGCAGGCGGCCGGCCGAGGAGCCAGGGGGCCGTCCTTCCTGAACCACAGACCAGGGGTGGGGCTGCCCCCTGCCTGCCCCGGGGCCCACGTTTCAGTACTGACTGCCTGAAAGTCACCAGTCGGCCACGCTCCCACGTGGTGTTCCCAAGCCACCGAAAGCGTGGGGACAGCTAGTTGCGCACACGGCCACCTCCCCTCCCCGTCTGGCCCGGCCTGTGTCCTTCCAGGCCGGAGGGGAAGTGCAGGTGAGCACCGCCTGTCAGCCTGTCCCCAACACTGCCCACGGGCCGTCCCTGACGCTGCTCTGGCCCCCAGCACCGGCTCTGGAGAACACAGGGCAGGCTGGGCTGGTCTCAGTACTCCCTGGCCCCTCTTCCTACACCAGAGCACCCCAGCAAACAGCCTCCACGGGTGCCCGGGACACAGGCCACCAGCCATGACAACCCCCTTCCTGTCCTCTATCAGGTGTCTCCTACACGCCCAGGACAGTGGGCTTACGAGCAATCACCGGCTGCGAGGAGGCGCCTGGCACGCGAGGCCTGCCCCTGGGGCCCTCTCCCACGGGCCGCCCAGCCACACAGCCACTGCAGCCCCACCCCGGCAGGCGCGCCCCGCCACCCCAGCACCTGCCGCCCCCCCCCGGCAGCGGTGTCGGGAGCACAGGCCCCTGGAGGCTGCGAGGACACCGCCACTCCACCTTCAGCCAGCAGCTGGTCCCCTGTGGTTCCCTCCAAGCCAGCTGTGACCGTCTCTCACCACCCCGCTCCCGCTGTGGGTCAAAGCCGGCAGCCCACGTACCAGCTCACCCACGATTCCTGCACATTCCTGGACCCTGCCTCTCCTCTGGAGTCCCTCTGCCACACGGCCACCACTGTTCCCCAGAAGTATGAGCCCAAGTCCTGAGCCCTGGCACCTGCAAGCATGACCTAATTTAGAAGTGGTCTTCGCGGACATAACCATGTTTAGGTCAGCTCAGACTGGACTGGGGTGGCCCAAGTCCCATGCTGACTGTCCTCCCAAGACAGCGATGCAGACACCCACGCAGGGAGCCGACTTGGAGGAAGGCGGAGGCTGGCCTGTGCCCGAGGCCAGAGCCCAGGGGCTAAGATGCTCCCCAGGGTGTGAGCAGGGAGCACCCCACACCTCTGACACCTGGGCGCTGGCCTCCACCTCCCTGACATCCTGGGCTCCTGAGCTGTGGTCCACTTAGCCCGAACCCAGCACCGACGGGCAGGGCCAGCCCAGGGTGAGCGGCCACACGCTCACGGGGAGCCCACGCGGCGCCCCGC